GTAAATACAAACGAATTTCCCTAATTTAGACATTATCTGTTTCATTAAATATTCCGTTAATTAGTGTAGCCAAATCGGTATAAATTCCTATAAAATCGAATGGTATAACTTACCAGTTAAGGATGCTTACGATCTTATTCTTTTGATCTCCATATCTCAATGTCCACCAAGACTTACGGCCGGAAGAATCATTGAATTATCTCTCAACACTTTTAGCTCCGTGAGTTTTTTGATCGTTATACTGATATTTTGAAAACAAAATATTACACACTTTTCAATTTTTAGGTAGCGAAGACGTCGCTGGCTTACCTGAACTTGATACGAACATTTACAGACTGGTAATGAAACCTGAATTTTTTAATAATATCACAAAATTACTATAACTGCAGTAATTATTTTATTTGTAAAAATAATTTTGTAGATATCCGTTTTCAACAATAACTTTGAAGATGTACCTGCTCAACGTAGTTTATTTAATTTTTGTGGAGCAAATCTGAAGTACATAGGTGAAATATTTTAAATTATAAATGTACAGAACGTAGAATTACGTAATAAATATTTGTAGGCTAAATCTTATGACATTAAATACTAAATTACGCACTAAACTACTGACTAAGCTAACCTTTATAAAATTTTATATCATTTCTCATTCTGCTAACTTTTTTCTTCGCTGCCTACTGAAGATAAAATCTCCATCTCACATTTCCAGAATGTTTGCAATTTTTTATCTTTTTTATAAATTCCGAGACAAATTTTACTACACGCGATTTATTGACTTGAAAAATATAACACTATTGTTTTAAATCAAAACAGATGTACAAGACTCGGTCCCAAAAAAGAAACTTATTTCTTTCATTATTCGAAAGTTTAAGAAAACTTAGAACAAACATGTGCTTATTATCCGAACGATGTGTCTCTACTGTAACTTCACTTACAATCAATCTCTGCTGCAACGAATGTAGAATCTGTAACAGACACAAATAAAAGCGTACGCTGTCATTATCGACGAAAGTTTCCCCTTTGCATCTG